CAAAGATGGACTGACGTCTGGCTCCCGGGGTCTGTGCGTTCATGTTGACTCTCGAGAGTGGGGTTTGGAGATGGGGAGATGAGAACCCTCCAACTTTGTTGTTTGTTCTGTAGTAGCGCTTTGCTTATCATGTAAATTTTGTGATTTCCATCTCTTTAAAGAATGAAGCTAGAATCAGAATGGGGAATGTATTATCATTGTAGACTCCTTAAGTGTTCCTATCCATTAACACAGTGTATTCTTCCATTTGTGTAAATCTCTTTTGTTTCTCTTGTTACATTTATTCCTGATTATTCCATAAGTGGGTGGCTACTATATATGCCATTGTTTCCTGATTTATGTTTGGGAGTTCACTTTGTTAGCATCAAGGAATCGGGCAGACTTTTGTATCTTGATCTTCCACCCTGCCACTTTGCTGAATCCTATACAGTTTGTATCGGATCATGTCTGCAAAGAGAGGAAGTTCTACTACTTTGTCAAGTTCAATTCCTTTAATTTCCTTTGTCTGATAACTCGCCTCGGCTGAGACGTCCAGCACAATCTTGAATAGGAGTTGTGGTAAAGAGCATCTTGGTCAGGTTTCCATTTGCAGAAGGGAATTCTTTGTTTTTTCTCTGATGAGAGTAAAGTTGGTTTTTAATTTTGTATATGTCCCCTTTCTTATGTTAAGGGTTTTCCCTTGCATTCCTATTTTGTTGAGTTTTTAAAATCAAATAGATGTTGGATTTTATCAAATGCTTTTTCTACATCCATCTGATATGATCATGCAATTCTTGTGTCTATGTGACAGATCACATTGTTTTCCTTATGCTGAGCTGTACTAGCAAACCTGTATGAATCCCACTTGGTCATGAGGTATTTTTTTATGTATACATTGCTGGGTTTTATTGACTAGAATTTTTGCATCTTGTTCATGAAGAATATTTTTTTCGATAATTTTCTTTCTCAATGACGTCTCTGTTTGGATTTGGGAGTTTTCCATTCTTATCTGAATTCTGGAATAACATGAGTAGAATTGGTGTGTGGTAAGCCCCTTTCTAAATGTTTGGTAAAATTCACTAGTGAATCAACTGAACCAGGACTTCTGTTATTGGAAGTTCTGAATAACTCAATCAATTGCTTTTCTTTTGGGTCTGTTCAAGTTTTGTATGGAAATGTATTTCTAGAAATGCATCCATTCTTTTATAGTATTGGTTTTTAAATTTTTTCTGCTTAATCTTTTTGTCTGGTGGTTGTAGAACTCTTTTGCTGCTATTTGATTAATTGCTAGAGCAATTGCTCTAAGTTACTCTCTGAACCCTTTGTCTGAAAGGATTGAGCATACTGTGATTCTCAGTCTCATTTGGTTCAAGGAATTTTCTAATTACACTTTTGATTCTTCCATTACTAAGCACAGTGTTATTCATTTTCTATATATTTGGCATTCTTTCTAGGTCTTCCTATTGACTTCCAGCTGTATAGTCCTGCTCTCTGAGAACTTGTAATATTATGATCTATTTTGGAGAACATTCCATGTGCATTGGGAAAAAAGTATGTTTAGAAGGTCATTTGGAAAGTGATTAAATCAACAAAGGGAAAACCCTTAGCATAAGAAAGGGGGTGTCCCCTCCCTGGGGGGGGTCAGGCAACAGAAAAGTGGGTGAAGGGAGACATCAGTCAGCGTGAGACATAAAAAAAATAATAAAACTGTTTTGAGAATGATGACGGCAACAAATGTGCTTGACACAATGTATGAATTGTGATAAGAGCCCCCAATAAAATATTTTATTAAAATTTTTAAAGGGGGGGGCATATACAAAACTAAAAACCAACTTTACTCTCATCAGAGAAAAAACAGAAAGAATTCCCTTCTGCAAATGGAAACCTGACCAAGATGCTCTTTACCACAACTCCTATTCAAGATTGTGCTGGACGTCTCAGCCGAGGCGAGTTATCAGACAAAGGAAATTGTAGTAAAATTTCCTCTCTTTGCAGACAATATGATCCAATACAAACTGTATAGGATTCTTTGTAAGAGTTTAATGCATTTAGAGGCACTTTCATTGCATGCGTAGATATTTATATCTAAGGTGTCTATCAGAGGCGTGGTGGCATAGCGCATTATTCATTGGGCTGATAACGAAGAGATAACTGGTGTGTGGGAGAATGATGAGGCATTCTACTCTCATTAGACTTCACAGACTTCGGTCCTACAGGGTCATGATGAGTTGGAATGACTCCATGGACAATGAGTTTGAAGGTGTGCTTCTTTCGAGGACATTTTGATAGGCCCTTTTCCAGCCTGCTGTATTTAGCCTGTTTATGTTCAGATGTATTGCTGTACATGCTTTTTGGGGGTGGGGAGTGTGCTAATTTTTTGGTTCCACATAATTTTCCAATCCAAATTCATTATGTGCATTACTATTGTTTTGGAAGTTACTATGTGACTTAGAAATTTCTTAAGTTTCACACATTTAGAAGCTATGCAACTGTATTATTGGTTCCTGTTTAATTTGATATTGGTTCCTAATATTTCACTATGGATACTTCAATATCGGTGCTGGGTTCTGAGTGATGTCATGTGTTAAATTTAGGCTGTTTGTCATGACTGATTCTGTCTGAAAAACTTATTAATTGTAAGGTTGATATGATTCTTGGTTGGCAACTGTTTATCTTTCAGCCTTCTTGTCTGTATGGTTTCTTTGGAGCTCAGTCTTACTGATTCTCTTTTCTCTCTCCTGGGCACTCTGCACTTGTTTCTCTATTTGGTGTGGTAAAGGGTAGATTGGTGTGAACTACACCTGTCTGGGAGTTTGTATTCTGCTGGCCAGTGGTGTGGAGAGGATATGCCTACCAACACAAGCTTGAAATGCACCCCAAGATCTGATCCCTGAGCATGGACCTCAGCAGAGCTGGAACTCAACAGTGGTGAGATGCAATGACTGGTCTCTGAGGAACAAGGGGCAGATCATACCTTTCTGGTTGCCAGACAAGGTGTTACTGCAGCCAATTGGAACACTGCTTGCAAAAGTTCAGAGTGGCCATTCTGTGGCAGGTCAATGGAAATCGTTTGTTCTCCTAGTTAGTACTTGATCTAGTTCTCTAATCTTTTCTCTGAAGCTCAGGGCTCCAAGATTATCATCTATGTTTTTCACCTCCCTGGTTGATTATTGGTGTTTCATAGAAACCTAATAGTTGTCTGTGGTGTTGACCGTGGACCCTACCTCTTTACTGAATCCATTGAGCATCCTGCCGCAAGTTCAGGGCGAGCTTTACTTCTGGGTTTGGGTGCCTGATTGACTTCCATTCTCTTCATGCAGTTTCCCTCTGGAGAGAAAGAGACCAGTAATTACACTGTAGATTCTCACCAGTTCTTAGGGTCCCACTTGCTTTGACATTGGTGTCTCCTAAGACCATGGTCCTAAGCCCCCAGACCCAGCAATTCGTCTCCTCAAGGTGTTCATATTGTTGCCCACTATATGCTTGGCCACATTTAATGCTCTGACTCCCAGCAACCCTGATACTCATGGTCTACCCCACCCCCATTGTCTATCCACGCGTCTCCTCAGAGGCTATCATGAGGATACAGTTGTGTGTACAACACCATTTACCTGTGTTGCTTTTGACTCTTACACTCCTCCTTTAGCTTCACTGCCTGTCCGGACGAACCTCTCTTTAAATTGCTTTGTCATCTCTACTTAATTAATCTACTCAGTCAAAGGCATGTCTTTACTAGATTTGTTCTTCAATATTTTAAAGCAATTCTGAGGACTTCATGGGGAAAATTCCATTTTCCATGAACTTGATACTATCAATGATCTCATAATTTCACTGTTTTCCTTGGTTATTGACAACGTCTAGGATCTGCTATGGCTTATGTGTCTGGCCTGCTTGCTGAGTTTGTTCGGTTTTAATAATTGGCCAGTTGCATTACCTGGCTCATCTGTGAGCACCATTTTCATCTTTTCAAATTATTTACATTCTTAGCCATAATGGTAATTTAATAGGCTTAAGATGCCTTAATATCTTTTGGGTACAAAAGGTTACTATAACTTCTTTTTAGTACTGCCAAAAGTTGGTCCATAGTATTTTTTCAGCCAGAACTTAAAAAGTTTGATTAGCATATAATAGCTCGATCACATTACAAAGAGCTGTGCAATCAATCTAAGAACATTCTCTTCTTGTCTGTGTTGTTAGTGCCTGATTCCCAGTCCCTGCCCTCCCTTGACTGCATTTTAATTATATTAGTAATTGTTATTAAAACACTCTTCTATCCACATCTACATTATTTAAAGTCTATTTGGAGGGAACCCCAATATACCTTCTAATTAATCTCCAGTTCTTTCTGAGAAACTGTTATTCTCATGAAGCTTTTAGGATAGAGCTGAAGTTTCATTCGTGCTTGAACAGCCCTTTCCAAGTAAATAATTTATCCCTTATCACTATGTCTCATAGATTCTTTTGAGGCTGTGAAGAAACTGCTTCCAATTTGGGGGTCATAAGATATAATCCAATACCAAGAGGCCAAATGCTAATCAGGGAGGAATCTCAGCATTTGCACAGCTATTAGGGATGACAAGGTCTAACGATTTAGAAACTGAGGATATCTCATAGAGCAGTGGAATGTCCTGATAAAAAGAAGAAAGAAAGCCAGCTGAAGTCTCAGAGGTGTTAACCTTAGGCTTAAATATTTTTGCTACTACATTCTCCAAGGAATCTCTAATTTGGGCCCCAGGGTCTCTGGAGGACAAGATGGCACCCCCTGAGTTACACTGGCGGAGCTTGGAGATGACAGCCTTTACAAGGCACTGACGTCATCTCAACACTGCCCTGTTTTATAGGCACACAGTGTGTATACACGGTGTCCAGGGAAGAGTCCACAAGCTAACTTGAGAGGGACAAGGCTGTGTGCTTGAGCCGTCTCTGACACCTGTTTACCAAATATTGCTGCGCTTGCCGCACCAGAGAAGAGCATCCTTGCAGGGCCGTGAGTGACCGCTCACTGTGTCTTGTGCCGACAGGTCCTTTGTCATCCAGCAGATCCCGAGCAGCAACCTGTTCATGGTGGTGGTGGACAGCAGCTGCCTCTGTGAGTCCGTGGCCCCGATCACCATGGCGCCCATTGAAATCAGGTATATCCTTTTGGGCAGAGGCCCAGCCATTCCTGCTGAGACCTGGGGAAGAGAAAGGCATGGCAGGTTTAACCCCTCACACCCAGAGCAAGGGAAAGGCGTGCTCATGGTTACTGTTGTTGTAAGACTGTATACCTCACCAAAGTTTATGGGCTCTCTGGATGGAGGATCACACCACACGAACACCAGACTAGCAGCCTACCTGCTCTGAAAGGGGTGGGGTTAACTTAGAAGGTCCTTACTGGAAACTGCCAGAACCCCTGAGACTAGAGCCTTCATCACTGTTCTCGTGTAGAAACGAGTCCCTCAGCTCAGTTTTCAAACAAGAGAGAGATGTGCAGGGGACAGTAACACTAGTGGGCTATGCACTCTGTAGCGTCATCAGCCAGTTGGCCCAGGACCAAGTTCCGAGCCTGGGGGAAAGGAGGAGCAGGATGGGTGATGGTACATTGAGGAGCCAACAGTGGATGAACTTAGACAAAAGGCACATTAATTGTTGAGTGAACAACCGCTCTGCTCTGTAAACCTTGCATAGTCACAAAAAATTGCATTTTGGGGAATGAGCCTTAACTTCGGTCAACATAATGAATCTCTGAAGTGTGAACGATTGAAGGCCCAGAAGATCAGGAGACGCCCCGAATCATGCCATGGCTTTCATCCTGAGGTGAGTCTGGACGCGCCTGGAATCTCAGTGATCTAAGAACAGCAAGGATGCCCACGTTCAGGCAAACTCTATGTAGAGTCTTCTGATTAATACAGTTCAGACTGCTTTTACATTATTACACTGTGACTCTCTTGATTTACTCAGTTTAAGTAAAAGCACCACAGTATCCGATTAAGAAGCCTAGTTTATGAAAGCAGAAGGTCGGGGCATCCATACCTACAGTGATGGTCAGAGGAACTTTAAGCTCAGTTCCCAGAAAGGTGTCATTAACCCAGATTTGCACGAGGCCACCTTTCGTGCCGTAGGAAAGTCCTCGACCCTTCCCCCCAAAGTGGAAAGCTTACACAGGCCAGTCACTCGAGGGGAATTGGCACTTATATACGTAGGATGTTACTGATAAGATTTTAGGAATGGATATAAGCCCAAATCAAGAAAAACGCTTTGGTTCACTATAAAACTTTTCTATGAAAAAGATACGCTAAACAAATCAATTTGAGCGAATCCTGTAAAGTGGCTAAGTAAAATAATTAGGCCCTGTACCTCTACTCTGACAAGGAACCAACAAGAAAGTATCGTTCTGAAAAGCTTCTTACATATCCTTATGACGAATACTGAAATGGTAAAGAATGATTTCAAATAGATGCCCATATTTACCTGAGGAAATTTAAATGAACCCATTGCCCTGTGGTATCAAAGGGCTTTAGAACCAGCATGGCTTGAGGAGATTAACTTCCCACTTCTGCCTCCTTCTGCAGGAGAACGCCAGGGAGTGTGGGGGTGCAGGGCGCCTCCGGGCCCCGCTTCTGCTCCCTCTGCTTCTGCCGCTGCTCTCCAGGTGACGCTGCCTGAGCTGTCCTCCTGGCATGCTAACTCGTGGTAAACTGTGAACCAAACTATGGTGCGACGTAGGAGACACACAACATAGACCAACCATCAGCATCTCATGGTTTTAAACTGTGCGTGATATCAACTCTTAAAGATAATCTTTTTATGTTGCCAGTCATGCAAAATGTGAGTTTGCCACATGATCATCATCCTTCATCAGAAATGGGACTGCGAGGGGGAGGCCGGTCCCCTCAGCTTGGGACCCGTTGAAAACCGTGTACTTTTTAAATAAAGTATATTAAAATCATAGCCTCCTCGTTTGAGCTTCAATATTTTGTGCCAAAGAATTCAGACCAAAATCCCATTGCAAAAACTGGTGAGGCTCTGCTAACCGTCACCCTTTCATTCTAATGGAGATGCTAGACAAGATAGTTGCCAGCTCTCTAGCTGTTCCCTCTCGATTACAACAATGTTCACGGAGACGTTTCCTAGAACCTGAGTTTCGATGGACTGAATCATACCTCCTAGGCACTCATTCTGCAAAGACTTGGAGGACAAGAAAGGTGACGAAGGGTGCTCAGACTTATTGCTTGAGCATTTGGCTGCTACTTTTCAAGTGTTACAAGACGTGAAAAGTCCCAGATCTGGAAGCATCCCTCACACACTGGACCCAAAACCATTATCCTGCCATATTGTAGAAACACCGATATTGCTACTCTATACCAGAATGACTCCAGTATTTATAGGAATCGCCACACGTGTACTTCATTGTTCTGTTCCTCTGCCCTACGCTTCCGGTGCTGGTGCATAGCTAATAGTACTGTGGCCACGTTGAGTGTGTGTGCTCAGTGAGTGATTTCATAGGTGACATAAACTATCAAGATGCATTATATTGTTAGGCAATTACAATAACAGACAGCATCCCTGGGTCAAGTATGCTCTTATAATTAAGGTACATAGTTTATCACTCACGGTGCCAAATATGAGTAACACCCATCTCACCACTACACAATTCTAAACAGCGGGTGGCATCATTCTTACCACCATGCGACCTAAGATAGCCTAGTTGAGTCACATTATGACTCTTGGTTTGTCAAATATCTCGTTCCTGTAAAGTGACCCATTGGGCAATCCTGTACCCCCCACAATTCCAACTGACAGACTATTCCTTTGGTCTATTTAGATGTATGTAATTTTCTCTAGTTTCTTTTGTTAAAGGAATTCTTGAACACCATCCAAACTTTTCCCTCAAAACGGACAAGAGTGTTCGGCGGCTTTCGGTGTAAGAAGCTGAGTCTCCCATCCAGCAAGTCCCCTGAGCTCTGCCCTCCCAACCACAAAGCAGCAAGGACTTCTCACCTCCTTGTCAAGCCACTGTCCCTCCCCAGGGGGACCTTATCTCCTGTCCACTATGACCTCCACACCGTAGCCCTCACAACCGCGCTAAGCAGTAGTCCCTCCTACGCTCCCTCGTGACGTCAGAATGATGCCCGGCCCCCATCAGTCTGTGTGCATGATTTTCAGAATCACAAAGCTGATGCCCTCTCTGGCTGTGCCCCAGACCAATGAGTGCAGGCTCGGGCATCGGTACTGGCCCCCCAGGTGATCTGACTGTGGAACCAGCTTGGCCAACCCTCCTGTACAGTGTCTCAGCTCTGGGCTCTGGCCCCCTTTGCAGCCCCACCACTCTCTCATTGCCCACACATCCCTTGAATGCCTTCAAATGGCAGGCACGTTCCTACTCGGGACTTCAGCTCCTCCTGGCCTCTCTCGCTGCAGGCCCCCGACCCTGGTTCTTGTGTGGCTGTTGCTTCTCGTCAGTCAGGACTGAACTCTTCCTTCCTCTGAGACATCCGGATCACGCCCTCAGTCCCCAACAGGCCCATGACCCTGGTTTCCCCCACTGTATCATATCTCTAGGACAGCACCTGGAACACACAGGGTTTCAAAAGGTCATGGGAAAATCCCATGATCTCTTATTCTCATTTCTCCATGAACTTTTTGAAGCCCTGCATATCATAAAAGCACCTAACTAGCACATAAAAGTCAACTTCCTTAGAAGCTAATGTTTCCTGAGAGCTGACTCTCTCCCTGGCACTATTGGGGAGGCCTTCATGAGTTAATGAACTCGAGGGAGCCTCGTGAGAAACCAGACAGATGTCCCCACGGTCGCCGTGTTACGGAGGGTGAAATGGAGGCAAAGAGGGGCAAAGACACACTGCTGCAGCAAGTGGCCAGCTTGGAGTTTGAATACAATTTTCCTCTACAGTTGGGGCCCTCAGCCAATCAAGTAGTTTGTCCATGTTTTTCATGGTAGAACGTTCTAGAAAAAGGGTCTTGGGGATGTGATGGTAAATGCTCATGTGATAGTGGAAGAGTTGGGGGGTGGTGTTGAGCCCACCCAGCGGCTTCCTTGCCAAAAGGCCTCCTCACTGATCTGCTCCCACAAAGATGACAGCCGAGAGCATGCTGTGGGACCACGACATGCCCTCACTCCGCGGTGCCAACAGCAAGAGCGTGCTCCGGAGAGCGCCACAGAGATTACCCGAGCGGACACGGGTCCACTTTGCCTCAGGAAATGCAGGCCTCGGGCCTTGCAAAGCCCCTGGCTGCAACATTTTGTTAACTAATCAACGTTTCACTTCATTTGTGTGCTTCTGTTTAAGGGACAGACCCTTATCGGATTCGCATTACTCATGGGTCTTGCTACTCCCGTGCAGAGTTACAGTCCTGGGCACTCGAGCAGTTCCACTCCGCCCTGCATGGTCGCTGTGAGCCAGCACTGGCTGGATGGCGGAGAGCAAGGGTCATTCACGGAGTTCATTGCCAACAGCACCACTCGGCGTGCTGGAATGGACCTCCTCCCTCACAAGTCTATTTAGGGCACTGCTCAGCCTTTTTGTGCTAAGGCGTTTCACACAGCACGTAAGCATCGCACGTTTCAATTAGTGACCCTGCCAACCCCAAGGAAGCAGGAATAAAACCTGGCCTTGAACACGTTGCGGAAAGGACATTGTTTTCAGGACAAGAACTGAGACAAAAAGGCAAGGGGCCACTTGATCCAACCTCACCTGGGGGTGGTGATGTCACCAGATCGCACAGATGTTTTGCCACCTCACCCATGTCCACCCACAAGAGCTCCCTAAGCCCTGACTCGCGCGGCTACACACAGACTCTACATAAGGAGGATCGGCTGTGCTGAGCGCCTGATGCGCCCTCGGTCACATTGTCCTGCCGCACCCCGACAGCCCCTGATGACCGAGCTCACCATCATCGCCCCCCTGCCAATCACGTGGCCTCCATTCCCATCCAGTAAAGACATGGCTGTTCCTGGCCCTGCCCCAGCCTCCAAGCCATGTCTGCTATCAGCAATGTCTGGACTCCGCCTCTCACCACCTCTAATTGAGAGCCCACCTTCCCCAAATCCACCTTCAGGCAGCCTGGGTGGGCCTGTACTCTCCCCATAACATCTCCAGCATGGACCTCAACTGGATCCACAGTCCAGTCCAGAGAGACGCTCTCCTCAGCCAGCTGGATCCCTTTCTCCCAGCAAATAGTCCGGCCTGCCTCCGTCTCGGGTGCCTGGTACCACGAGTGGTTGGTGCAACTTGAAGGCTAGTGGTTTGGATCCACCCAGCAGTGCTATAGAAGAAGGGCGTGTTCTCCTGCTTCTCTACAGATCACAGCCAGCAGAACCTCATGGAGCTGTCCCCCTTAGTCTGAGGTGACCAGATGTCCCGCTTTTGGCGGGACAGTCCTGATTTTTAACAATTTTTCTTGCATCCCGCAGCGTTTTTAAAAAGTCCTGATTTTTGCAAAGAATGCACGACAAGCTAGGGTATATGGTTTTTGGCTGCCATGTGGCTATTTCGCCAGGATATGAGTTTTAGCAATGGTGTCCCACTTTTGTCTCACTTTACCAATGTAAAAATCTGGGTCACCTTACCTTAGTCACATGGGGGTGGGGGAGACACACGAGTCAGAATCGACCCCACAGAGCTGACCCCTCAGCCACACGGGGACGTGAGTCAGAACTGACCCCGGGCAGTGGGTTTAGAATGGCTTTGGTTTTCACCCTGCTTGACATGCGGACCACCATTTTTCTCTCCTGACACATATTTCAAAGCCAAAAGAGACCTGTGGGTGTGGGAGACTTTAACCTGTTTAGCCAGCATCCTATAGAGCAGCGATTCTCAACCTGTGGGTCACGACCCCTCGGGGAGTCAAACAACCCTTTCTCAGGGGTCGCCCAATTCATAACAGTAGAAAAATGACAGTTATGAAGCAGCAACGAAAATAACGTGATGGTTGAGGGTCCCCACCACATGAGGAGCTGCATGAAAGGGTTGCGGCCTTAGGAAGGCTGAGAACCCCTGCCCTAGAACACAGACAGACCCTCAGTTTCCGGGTCCATCTGGTCTGTGGCCTGATTTTCGGGAAAAAGGTGAACAAGGACCCAGCATGCTCCTGGCGAGGAAGGCTTTCGCCCAGGGTCAAAGATCAAGTCCTAGGGCCGGCTTTGCAGGCCTCACATGGATGGTTCCATTGCCACCCCCCGGGGTATCATCCACTTAGAGACATATGTAGATAGAAATACGTACACGGTATTCAACAGTACAACTTGATTTAAAAAGTGTTGCAAAATCCCATGATCTTTCCATCTTTCCATGAGCTGGGTTTTTTTTAACCCCCCTTGTAGAAGAAGATAATCAGTGCACACCAAAACCAAGCTCACTGCCAACGAGTCATTGTCGACTTGGAGCCACCTGCAGCACAGGTGGAGCTGGCCCAGTGCGTTTCTGAGACTGTCACTCGTTGTGGAAGTTGAAGGCAGTATCTTTCTCCCTTGGAGCAGCTGGTGGTTTCGAACTGCCGACCAACGACCAACGTGTAACCACGAGAAGCCCAGGGCTTCTGTGACAGGGCAGTATGTTCCACCACTGGAATAACAGGAGATCTCACGCGTGCTTAATGTGACCATTTCCCCTGGTACAGAGAAGTATATGGAATCCGTGTACGTCGGTCAGTTATCGTTCATAAAATGTTGCTTAGGGGGCCGCTGCATCCATCATCGCTCCTGGCACCCCCTGGGCAGTATTTGAAGACTGCGAGTGCAGTCCTTTGTCAGGTTTGGAGGAGAAGGCAGGTAGGCTTGAGTTGACCTGAACGCCCTCTACAAGATGCTGCACAACCTACCCTGCTCCCATCACGCCCCTGACCCTGCCAGTGGCTTCTTTCTCCCTCACGCTGCACCACCCCTTTCCTGCGCCTCGAGTCCCACACCGCAGGGCCTTTGCACTTGCTGGGCA